CCAAAAAAAAAAAAACCACTGCTATAATGGAAGTAATTATTTATGTATTAATTTTTTTTTTACAACTCTAAAGAGGAACCATTGAAAAACCATGTATCCTACATTTTAAGTCCAGTCCCTTGCAAAGAGTCAATGTTCAAAAAAACATTTGTTAAATGACATAAGACTGGTTTCAGACATGGTAAATAAATCTAGAAGGATATTCAGCTGATTCTAACAGGCTCTTAGAGAGATGAGACTGGCACTTGGGGAAAAAGGTAGGACTGAAAGTGTACACAGTGGAATTAACCACTTAAAGGTAAGCTGAGAGAATAAAATACCCATAAAAGAAAAAGCATGTGGGACACAGGGTGCTGACATTTTCTGGAGTATAAAAATTTACAGGGAGGAGAGAAAGGAGCAGTTGATAACAGGTAAAGAAGGAAATGACACTGTCGGGGAACAAAACAAAACAATTAGCACAGTGACTTATCAGGTAAGAATGGGAGCTGGGGTCAGAAAGAACTTCCAGAGGTCTTAATGGGTCAATGCCACATATAGTTAAGATGAAAGAAAATAAAATTCACAAGAATTAAGTGCATTTCATAATTGGAACACTATTGGTAACCTCTACTTTCCAAAAATCAGGGGTGGAAGTCAGTTTGAAAGTGATTAAGTAATATTAGAGCAGTGAGGAAAGAGGAATGGTTTATTCTCATCATAAGAGATTTTAGTTCTCAGAGTTAGAAACAGCATCAAGAAAAAAATTACTCATTACTGCCAGAAAAACAGAACTAAACTCAAACTAATAAAAGCCAGAAGAAGCATCTTCTTAAACAAACCTTTGTGAGTAATACAGAATACAGAAAAAGCAACACTCCAAATTTGCCTCCCCACATTGAATAGTGGTCCAAGACAGCATCTTTTAGTTCTGATAAACTTCTAAATAATCTTTTTCTGATGGGGAAAAAAGAATTAATTATTAGTATCATGATGAGATTGACTATATTCATAAATGGGAAAATTTTAAATTGTCTTACACACATTAAAACATACACATACAAACAGGAGATATTTATGTCTCAAAATTTCAAATACAAATTTAGCCATTAAAAGCAAAAGCCATTGCTGACAAATGTCACTATATATACCATGAGACAAAATGCCTACTTGGCAGACAAACTCTTCATAAATTTGGTGAACTCTGTGGCACTGATAAATTCTGTAATAATTATATATACTTAAAGGATAAAGTCACCCTCTGCTAAGAGGTGTTAAAGAATAAAAACAAATGACCTTTTAAAGCCCAAAAATTGTTTCATAAATATCTGAATACCAAATATAAAATGTACATTTTTGGCCACTTTTAAAAGAAACTGTTACATTTCAAATCAAATGGCCACCTATAATTCTATCAATACAGCTGTCCTTATCTTTTTATTTATAATACAAAGTTTAAATGCTCTAATGAAAATATGGTATTTATAATGAAAATTACAGAAAGCATATTTTGGCAAACAAGAAATAACTGGAATATTTATCCTACTAGAAATCTTTGTATTTAATCAGGACAAAAAAAAATTAAGCAAAAATGATTTTTTCATTTTAGTGATGAAAAAGCCTTTAATATTATAAAACAAAAGTCTAAGCAGTTAAAGAACGAGAATAATATATATTAACAAATCATTTTTTTAAACTGGAAATTAATCTTCAAGCATATAAATCTAAGTCCCTTTCCACAGTATGATCAGACTTAAAATGGCAATGCGTCCACAAGGTTAAGTATTTTAAATGTTTCAGTGTTACTTACTGAATTAATGAATGAAATTGCTCAAAGCCAAGCTCTTCCACAGCCAAGGCAGCTATACATAAAAGACACTTTTCAGCACTACACATGGCAAATAAATGACACAAGATACACACAGCAGGATGTAAATACTTTCAAGCAATCAAAAATTTCCCTATTTGCTTACTTCCTTAAAATGCTCAGTTTATTTTCAGCTTTACTGTGGCATAAAATTTATATTTCAACATCTTAGTTACTATGATTCTAACTAAAATGGATATAATATTGAGAACATAGAAGGGTAATTAAATAATAAACATCTATTTTTAATTCCATTATGCTAGGATAGTTTATAAAATATGAGGAATTATAGACAATCATAGTGCTTCACACATCATTGCAATGTGTGTGCACTAGTAAATAATCTTTCGATTCATAAATCCAAGTAAAATCATCATAGCTAATCTTCTTCCTTTATAAAATCTTTAGGTTTAAAGCTTAATTATTAATCAAATGTGTAAAAAAAGGCATAGCACTTTGAAACTACATAGGTTCAACTACAGCTTTAAGTTTGTTTCATTTATTTGTGTAATTGTTGAGAAATTTTCAGTAACTTGTTTAGATTATGTTTATTAATATAGCACAATTATAAATTTTTTTGAAAATCAAAGAAAGCCTAAACTCAAAGGGAATGTTTATTCAACATTTTGCTAAGTGCCAGGCCCCTTTCTAAATGCTCTACCGGTCTTACCTCCTTTAACCCTGTAACAACCCTACTACTCCATACTACAGAAGAGGAACCTGACACACAGAACCATCCCACAACATGCAGCAATAAACAGCAGGGCTGAGACTTGAACCCAGAGAGTCTTGGCTCCACAAAGATAAAGTCTTTAAAGATACTGTACATAAGTCAAAATGCCTACTCTAATTTATCACAATGAACAATCTTATATATATTTTATAAGCAAATCTTCACACTTTTATATATTAATTCTCACTAGAGAATTAAAGAAATGGGTTTATCATGAACCCAAAATTAAAATGTCTGATCTACAATTTAAAATGTCACATCACGTTTGCCTTTCAAAGTCTGTTTTAATTTTCAAATATTTCAAACTACTTTTTAAAATCTTTCAAAATCCAAATGGATTAACTGAACTAATCTTTTGATTTCTGTGGGAAACAAACTGAAATTGAACCTGAGTATTCACCACTGCAAACAAGTGTGCGTTACCAAGAGCCAAAACTATGCACTCCACAGAAGCCAATGAAATTAATGTTAACTAATTACTTCTCTCAGGCCTTGTCTAAGGATTATAGAGAATATTAATCAACAATCAAAATCTTTAATGATCACCTGAATATTGTAGGAAGAAACAAATATGGTAGCTTCCACTTGCTTCCTTGTAAACAACAATATAAAACAAGCCGTGATAAAGTCAAAATGAGTAAGGATATAACAAGTGGCACACTCACTGGAGAATGTGGGGACATCATTTCAAAGATTGGTTCAAGAACAACTAGACATGATTATTGGCCATAAAGGACAAGAGACAGAGACACTATCAAAAGTTTTGAGCATAAAAAACTGAGAGAATAATGAACAGTCAAGATGAACTATTCATGAGCAATCTTGGATCTTATTGCTGCTATTCACCAACTACCACATCTCTCCAACTACCAAGTACTTTTGGTTCTTTTAAACATGCTCTTATTTTAAAATTTCTAAACTTAAAACATGCTTCTGAACACACTCTATTTCTTTTCCATTTCCATGGCCAAGGCCTTAGCTTAGGTTCACCTATTTCAATAACCATTTTTCTAGTTTCCTAGACTCTGGTCTTAAACTCCACAAAACAATTCCCTCCAGCACAATTCTTACCCCACTTCAAGGAATCTTTTATCAACCAAATGATCTTATTATTAGCTTGTTCAAAATTTTTGTTCTGTTCTAATTTCAGCCACATGAAATATAAAGTATTTTTGGTACAGTATTGCAAGGGATTTCATTTCATATTCTGAGCCTTCTTCATGTAAGAACCCAGTCTCATCCTCCATGGTTGCCTATCTGGTGCATTACATGCAGTGACACTGAACTACTTGGAGTTCTCCAAACCTGCTGGTATACCCCAATCCATCATGTATTTGGGTTTTAAGCATTTGCTGTCCCACTACTTAGAAACTCTTCCTACAGTTTTTTTACCTAGAAACCTTTTTCTTATCCATTAAGAACCTATAGCCATCAAATGGTCCCTACTATATAGTCTCTCCTTGACTCAGGCATCCTTCTATTTTCCCACCAAGATTTGTGCATGCAACAAGTAAACACCAAAAAAAAAAAAACCACTGCTATAATGGAAGTAATTATTTATGTATTAATTTTTTTTTTACAACTCTAAAGAGGAACCATTGAAAAACCATGTATCCTACAAGGGACATGTATCCAGTCCCTTGCAAAGAGTCAATGTTCAAAAAAACATTTGTTAAATGACATAAGACTGGTTTCAGACATGGTAAATAAATCTAGAAGGATATTCAGCTGATTCTAACAGGCTCTTAGAGAGATGAGACTGGCACTTGGGGAAAAAGGTAGGACTGAAAGTGTACACAGTGGAATTAACCACTTAAAGGTAAGCTGAGAGAATAAAATACCCATAAAAGAAAAAGCATGTGGGACACAGGGTGCTGACATTTTCTGGAGTATAAAAAATTTACAGGGAGGAGAGAAAGGAGCAGTTGATAACAGGTAAAGAAGGAAATGACACTGTCGGGGAACAAAACAAAACAATTAGCACAGTGACTTATCAGGTAAGAATGGGAGCTGGGGTCAGAAAGAACTTCCAGAGGTCTTAATGGGTCAATGCCACATATAGTTAAGATGAAAGAAAATAAAATTCACAAGAATTAAGTGCATTTCATAATTGGAACACTATTGGTAACCTCTACTTTCCAAAAATCAGGGGTGGAAGTCAGTTTGAAAGTGATTAAGTAATATTAGAGCAGTGAGGAAAGAGGAATGGTTTATTCTCATCATAAGAGATTTTAGTTCTCAGAGTTAGAAACAGCATCAAGAAAAAAATTACTCATTACTGCCAGAAAAACAGAACTAAACTCAAACTAATAAAAGCCAGAAGAAGCATCTTCTTAAACAAACCTTTGTGAGTAATACAGAATACAGAAAAAGCAACACTCCAAATTTGCCTCCCCACATTGAATAGTGGTCCAAGACAGCATCTTTTAGTTCTGATAAACTTCTAAATAATCTTTTTCTGATGGGGAAAAAAGAATTAATTATTAGTATCATGATGAGATTGACTATATTCATAAATGGGAAAATTTTAAATTGTCTTACACACATTAAAACATACACATACAAACAGGAGATATTTATGTCTCAAAATTTCAAATACAAATTTAGCCATTAAAAGCAAAAGCCATTGCTGACAAATGTCACTATATATACCATGAGACAAAATGCCTACTTGGCAGACAAACTCTTCATAAATTTGGTGAACTCTGTGGCACTGATAAATTCTGTAATAATTATATATACTTAAAGGATAAAGTCACCCTCTGCTAAGAGGTGTTAAAGAATAAAAACAAATGACCTTTTAAAGCCCGAAAATTGTTTCATAAATATCTGAATACCAAATATAAAATGTACATTTTTGGCCACTTTTAAAAGAAACTGTTACATTTCAAATCAAATGGCCACCTATAATTCTATCAATACAGCTGTCCTTATCTTTTTATTTATAATACAAAGTTTAAATGCTCTAATGAAAATATGGTATTTATAATGAAAATTACAGAAAGCATATTTTGGCAAACAAGAAATAACTGGAATATTTATCCTACTAGAAATCTTTGTATTTAATCAGGACAAAAAAAAATTAAGCAAAAATGATTTTTTCATTTTAGTGATGAAAAAGCCTTTAATATTATAAAACAAAAGTCTAAGCAGTTAAAGAACGAGAATAATATATATTAACAAATCATTTTTTTAAACTGGAAATTAATCTTCAAGCATATAAATCTAAGTCCCTTTCCACAGTATGATCAGACTTAAAATGGCAATGCGTCCACAAGGTTAAGTATTTTAAATGTTTCAGTGTTACTTACTGAATTAATGAATGAAATTGCTCAAAGCCAAGCTCTTCCACAGCCAAGGCAGCTATACATAAAAGACACTTTTCAGCACTACACATGGCAAATAAATGACACAAGATACACACAGCAGGATGTAAATACTTTCAAGCAATCAAAAATTTCCCTATTTGCTTACTTCCTTAAAATGCTCAGTTTATTTTCAGCTTTACTGTGGCATAAAATTTATATTTCAACATCTTAGTTACTATGATTCTAACTAAAATGGATATAATATTGAGAACATAGAAGGGTAATTAAATAATAAACATCTATTTTTAATTCCATTATGCTAGGATAGTTTATAAAATATGAGGAATTATAGACAATCATAGTGCTTCACACATCATTGCAATGTGTGTGCACTAGTAAATAATCTTTCGATTCATAAATCCAAGTAAAATCATCATAGCTAATCTTCTTCCTTTATAAAATCTTTAGGTTTAAAGCTTAATTATTAATCAAATGTGTAAAAAAAGGCATAGCACTTTGAAACTACATAGGTTCAACTACAGCTTTAAGTTTGTTTCATTTATTTGTGTAATTGTTGAGAAATTTTCAGTAACTTGTTTAGATTATGTTTATTAATATAGCACAATTATAAATTTTTTTGAAAATCAAAGAAAGCCTAAACTCAAAGGGAATGTTTATTCAACATTTTGCTAAGTGCCAGGCCCCTTTCTAAATGCTCTACCGGTCTTACCTCCTTTAACCCTGTAACAACCCTACTACTCCATACTACAGAAGAGGAACCTGACACACAGAACCATCCCACAACATGCAGCAATAAACAGCAGGGCTGAGACTTGAACCCAGAGAGTCTTGGCTCCACAAAGATAAAGTCTTTAAAGATACTGTACATAAGTCAAAATGCCTACTCTAATTTATCACAATGAACAATCTTATATATATTTTATAAGCAAATCTTCACACTTTTATATATTAATTCTCACTAGAGAATTAAAGAAATGGGTTTATCATGAACCCAAAATTAAAATGTCTGATCTACAATTTAAAATGTCACATCACGTTTGCCTTTCAAAGTCTGTTTTAATTTTCAAATATTTCAAACTACTTTTTAAAATCTTTCAAAATCCAAATGGATTAACTGAACTAATCTTTTGATTTCTGTGGGAAACAAACTGAAATTGAACCTGAGTATTCACCACTGCAAACAAGTGTGCGTTACCAAGAGCCAAAACTATGCACTCCACAGAAGCCAATGAAATTAATGTTGTACAGAACGTAATACTGACAGGGTGCAAAACATTCCACATTTAAAATTTCAGGATAAAATAAAAATTCACCTAACTTTTTCCCAATTGTACTAAATGTTCTGCAGTGCTTGCTTATCTAAATATTTTTACTGGGTATAATATGCCATGAAAATAGACACAGAGATAGTAATTTAGAGAAAAGAGGCAAGCAAAATAAAAAGCTTAGCAGGCAGGATGGTGGAAAAATATAAAACACAAGAAAAAGAACATAGCTGGGAATAAAGGAAAGAACAGATCAAATAGATTGTTACAGAAATAAATATTTTATATAAGCTCATTTCATTTGTTAATATCTAATATAAAAATAAATTCTCAACTTTCAAAAACTTCAAATTTACACAGTATTCAAAACAGATTTAATATATGGCTTTAGTTCACGTCAGTTTTTAAAATCAGGCAAAGAAAATTGCAGATTTAATAAAGTATGTTTTTCTTGGGGGGTAATTCAATATAATATGCCCACTTGAAGTACTTGTTCATGCATTATGAAACATTTAAGCTAGAGCAATTTAACCTATCAACACATTGATAGTAAGCATATTTCATAGTAAGCATATAGTATACTTCTAAGATACTAATGAAAAATGTCACAAAAGATCTTACTATGTTCTTACACATTAATATATAGATTGGCTTTAAGCACATGTTTTTTAAAACAATTTTTAATGAGTACAAGTATTCCTCTGTTAAAATTTTAATATCCTATATGGATTTATTAAACATGCTTACATGCAACCCAGTAAAACCTGGAAAATACTTAAAAATCAATCTTAAAGATATTTGTAACTGTCATCCTTGTGAATATTTTCCACTTGTTTTCTTCAACTGTTATTATAAACTCTTGAAAAAAATGTTAAATTCTCTTTGAAAGGCTATGTTTGAAATGCCTGAAGAGGAAATGTTATACAACTAGATTTTAAAAACTATTCCTTGCCAATGTACTACTATGAGAATTTGCCACTGTAACTGCAGAGATCGGAGAGAGAAGGTGCTGACATCACAGAGACATTTCAGCCCACGGAGGCAACAGTGCCTCAAAGGTAGCCCTATGCGGAAAGCAAGATGTGTATCACAAGCAACTGAAATTCAGTGCCTATAAATGAGGTATCTAATTTCTTTAAAAACAATTTCTGCAGAGACAAGAGTTAACAGCATGCATTATATGTAGAATAAGTCATTTATTAAATATAAGCACTTAGAACTACCAGTTATCAAAGCCACCTACTAGCAAGATAATTCCTGAAAAGAAAAACAGAAAAGCAATTCTTTTATCTAGCTTCCCCCATGTCTCCATTTTCCTAGTTCATTCTGACAGTTTTTAGGTCGATCACATAAGAATTTTTCAGACTAAAGACCACAGAATACATATGTGTGAATGCATCTGTATATATGTATGAATGAGAATAGCTGTTATTTATTTGTAAAAAGAGATCTTCAAAGTATAAAAACTTAAATGAAGGCATAATTAAAACTACCTTAAGTTAATTCGTACATACTAATAACAATGTCTAAAAAGTTCAGGAGGGAAAGAAACAATGTGCAATAAAGAATAACGTCCCCATTTTGCTCCAGGAAGTAACTAAAGATATTTTTAAAATGTGCTAGTGTTAAAAAAGGATCCCTTTTTTCCTCCTAATATCAAAGAAAACATTAACGCATGTGAAACTAAAGTATATGGAATTGTTTTTGACTTTCTAAATGACAGTTCTAAAGTTCAAAAGAGATTGTCATCAAACAGAAGTTAACTAGAACTTTTTTAAAAGTTTAAGAGATGCATTCCTTTTACCTGAAAATGAATACAAAAATTAAACACATGTAATATCTTCTAGTAACTAAAATAACTGAAAGGGAAATGAAAAGTACTAAGGCTTATGAATTAAGCTTAGGCTAAAAGAAAAGACAAGAAATGAAAATTTTATATCTTTTTTTCTTCAAAACATTTTTCAATTGTTTCATTAAACAAAAGTACAAGAATTACTTCAGGAAATAAAAATGTATCTTACAAGAATGTTCCACTTGGCAACTAGACTCTGCAGGACTCCCAGAAATACTAGCAGTTTCCTCAGTTGTCTTTCCTCTCAACCATGAAACCAAGCAGTATGGCCCAGAGCTGTCACAAGCACTTTCTAAAATATCACATAAGGTATGACAAAGGAGTTCCTTCCGCTCTTCCTCTAAAAATAACCAAAGTACAAATTATAATGGTTATCTGTGAAAAGAAAAAATCCTGTAATGAATAATAATTTTAAGAATGTGTTAATTTAATGATGAAAATGGAGCATTGTAAATGGGAGGAATCCATAAACAACTGATCATATGTTTTAGAAAAATAATGCGCTTGAAGGTTAAAATGTTATCATTATTAAATATTACCATTAATTAGGAAAAGAATCCTGAAAAGTACATAAATAAACATTAGGAGAAAGAATATACCACTTGCAATAACCTAACACTGCTCACCCTCCTTTCTTAGGCTATAAATAAAGTATTTAGGCCATGGGGTTTCCTGTCCTACAGAACCAGGCATGACATGAGGGTCTCTTGAGATCTCTATTTTTCCTCATTTCTGACTTTGATTTCCCTGTCCCACAGGGGTAAGGAAAATGAGACAACACCATCAGCACATACAATATACAAACCATTACATCAGCAGAAGCCATCATGGTTATGCTGCGTAATACAGAAACTACTGATACTGTATTGCAGTGATTCAAGTACTTGACTTTCATAAAAAAATAGCACAAATCCTCAAACAATTTCTCCTGAACCTCAGCCACCCTCCCCTTTGCAAGCAGTATTACTCTCCCGAGGAAGCATGGCTCTCTGAAACATTCAAAGAAAGGGGATAGAGAAGACGTGCATACATTTAGTGTAAAATTTTATGCTATAAGGGGGTTCTTTCTCTCCAAATAGATTTACAGTTCTTTAAAGGCAGGAACTTTGTCACTCACATTACAACCACATTTGTGACAATGTTATATATTTATATTTTTTAATCAAAATGAATATATTTTTGTGCAAGAAATATGAATTGTAATAAAATGCTGATGTTCATAATAGCATCTTTTGACTAGATTTTTCTCTACTTCATGTTATTTTGCATTTCAGCTATTAATAAAAAGTACAGGGCAGTGACACTTGAACTCTTAAATTTAAAATCCTTAGTAGATTCTCTGGGTCTGGTTTGGTATGGAAACTGTTTTGCTCTTAAATACAAAACTGGGATTATAACATAGCCTACCTTATTCCAGAAGTTATTGTGAGGTTCACATGAAATTATGTAAGTGAAGGAAAGACCTTTGTAAACTGTCAAGTGGAATGAAACATTTGTTATAATCAGATGGCACCATATAGCTCTCTGACCTAATCATATTGCAGAAGCTATAACAGCTTCATTTGCAATTTAACTCAAAATTACTTGCATTATATAAGCCACTGTACTCAAAGATGCAGGAATACAAAGATAATTCTGAGTTCATACTTAGAGCTAAATAAGACAGAACAAACAAACATAAATGACTATTCCTTAAGTTATGGTAATATTTAACAGTTCGGGGAAATGCACCATGTTTTAGCAAAAGCCCAAAGGTTTTCCCCTTATATTATGCTGTCTTATACCTTCTAGTCAGGTAAACCAAATTTGGAAATATATATTTTTAAATTTGGAGTCACTGTTCATGAATCTGTCTCAAACATTTAAAAGATAAACCTCAAGAAAAAATATCCCATAGTTTACTTTTTAAGATAGGTAATTTCAATTAAACCACCACCAATGATTGCTGCATAGATCATGGATAATATAGAGAATGGAGGAAAAGTTTGTAAAGGATAGCTGTCATACCTGGGCAATCCCTCCAAGAAGACTTCTCAGAAGAAAACAGGAGCTTCTTCAAAAGAAATGCCTTTATACAATTAAAGCAATAATTATTAGAATGCATTATAAACATACCTTACATCATTCTTTTATTTTAAAGCAGAAAAAAACTAATTTGTACCTCCTTTCTAATCTTCTGAATAGTGCTATAAAAATTTCAAAAGTTACCCTTCATATTCAATAGTAAGAGCATATTTATTCAGAATATGCTACTCGATTAAGAATTGATTAAGAGTAAGTGTGATTCTAGATCCATAAAATTCTTTTTTATACTATATATTTTCTGGCAAATAGGAGAATTGACTTAAAATGATAGACATATAACTGAAAAATTAAAGAAATTTACTGCTCTATTCACAGAGTAAAGGCCTTATAAAACATGAACAAATCTACATTTCTTTTAGATTTCTTGGTAGAAAAGAAATCTACTTGTAAAAGTGATTTTACTCTATTAGCTCTGATTTTGATATAAGAATACCACTGTGAGAGTCACAGAGTCACCATTTTATTTCAAGGAGCTCCAATCTTCTGATTTAACTCAAAAAGCTGTAAGATTCAAAAGAAAAAACAAATCTGTTTCCATCTTTCCTATGTGAGTCAACCATGCTACACTGGTGATTTGATAGCAAACAGTTCAGTGCGGTACAATGCTCCCTTCTCAGAGTGCAGTTCTAGGTCTAGTTATACCCTAGTCAGCTGACTTATGTATTTAAAATGCAGATTCTTATGCTCCACCTAATGTATCTGAATCTCTGGTGCACAGTTCCAAGAAAAACAGGTTACTGTGGTGTTTCTTACATGTGTTTGGAAGCAAATTGTACAAATAAGAAGACTCCTTAGTCAGACAGACCTAGGTTTGTTCTACTACCTACCTATTACTACTGGGTCTACTACTTTCTAACTAAAAATAATAATAGCACAAACTTTAAAAGGTTGTAGTGAGGATTATACAATATAATCTATGTAATGCACTTAGCACCGTACCTGGCACTTAATAAGCAATTATTTCAAAGTATTTTAACAAAAAACTAATGTTCTATAATAGTCTCATAGAATTGAAATCTACAAATACTACATTCAAGTGCTTCTGATTTTTCCCCAAAACAACATCCATAAAACTGAGTAGTATACACTACATTACAATGTTTTGGAAAAGTGAGGTAGGTGCCCATTGTTTCACCACTAGAGCAACCACTGTTAGCATTTTATGTACCTCCTTCCAGTCTTTCCTTCATAACTATTTTAAGTTTTATTACAAGACAGAAGCATAATGGGTATGTGACTGTATTTTCCATTTTTGTTTTCCTACTTTATATCTACAATTTTAGTCACTAAGTGTCTATCAAACTAACACAATTTACTTAAATATTATTTCTAAATAATTATGTCTAAAATACATAATTGTGTATCAGATTTTTTTTTACCACTATAAATATAAAAGCTTCTTCTTGAATATAGCCTTTTCCATATTAAGGATTATTTCTTTAGGAAAGATTCACAGAAGTACAATTATTGCATCAAAGAATCTGCACTATAATGGTTCCAATTATAATGTAACATTCTTTCCCCAAATCAAAGTACAAATTTGTACTATGTTGTGATGAAAGCCTTTCTGATAACATAAAGAGTTAGCATGTATTCTATATATGTATTATATAATGTATTATTATAATAAAGTAAGCTGGAGAAAAGGTTTTTTCAAATTATTACAAATCTACAAAAAATTTCCAATATAGTTATTAAAGATAATTCACATGTAAGTGGACCTATGCAATTCAAACCCATGTTGTCCAGCAGCCAACTGTATTGTATACTTAATGATTAGAAAAAGCAAGCAATAGAATCTGGTTACACTTTTAATTGCATTTTCTTGGATTCCTTAGACTCATACTGATTCTTTGGTTGTCTGCCTGTATTCCACCTATTCTGACTGCATATACAGGCTCATTTTCACAACTGAGGTCTCTGTGTTTTTCTACCCAATTTGTACAAGTTCTTTGCAGAAGAAAGACAATATCCATTTATTGCTAACGTTCATTGCAAATATTCTTCTGAGCTTATCAGAACTCATCTCTTCTCTTAGAGAGGTGACAATACATTATTTTTAGTTTTTCTGTGGTTAAATATTTTGTCAAGAATATATTTGGTATATGGTATAAGATGATCTAAATTCATTTTCCCCCTCAAATTGCCAACCAGTTTTGTATGAGTGGCATTTATTCAATGTCATTTAATTTTATCATTAGTAGTTCCTTCTTTATTTTGGTATGTGATAAACACTTGGTTAACTATTATATGTAAGTGTTCTACTACTGTATTATCTGTCTGGTTCCATAAATGCCTGTTCTTCTAGCAATAGTGCTGTGTTCTAGTTTTCATAGTTTAAAAAAGTTTTAAAATCCAGATTCACTCATTTCCCTTCATTACTTTTAATGCTTCAGTTTTGAATTTCATACTGAAATATTAAAATTATTCTGTGATTGAAAAGATTTATGTGACTATAAACTAAATAACTACCTCAAAGATGCATCAGTATTTTGAACATTACAATCATCCTTCTTACATAGTAGCCCCACTTGGAAAAATAACTATCACTGTGGAAATATACTTAATTTTAAAAAATGGTAAACTCCTGTGGTATATCTTGCATTTAGCTACATTCAAGGACTTTCAACAAAAACTCTATGGTACTATTATGGCCCAAGGTGGGCAGAGGTAATATAATCTAATTTGCATATGGAGAAGACAAGAAATCTTCAAGTTCAGATAATAAGAGTTCTACTAGCAACCAAAATCTGCCCCAGTTACTCAGCAAAACAGCTCTAATTACTGATCAATAGTTAAATTTTATTCTTTATAGTCAGTAACTCCCAGGCAAAACTCAGACATCCAAATTTTTCTTTACTTTTTAAAAATTGTACTAATGTAAATATCAACTTTATCCTTTACAAAAATAAAATAATGACCTACAAGGGATATATTTTGGTACCAACCATGGAAGGAAATTTTTTTCCTCCAGAGAAATACATTTGCAACTTAATAATATAAGTATTATTGTGTGTGTAATATAAGTAATATAAGTATAGTATGTGGCATAAGGGTTGACACACAAATTTACTTCGCAGCTAACATTTCAGGAATGCATTCTTTATGCCCAATGAATAATAAATGTGCTGATTTATTTATTTTGTATTTTCAAAATGTGCTGATTAAAACATAATACATTGCAGTTTCTTTTATAACAATTCTGTTCAGAAATTTTAAGTATTATAATAAAGTGAAAATCAAATTCTTGGTTTTAACAACAGAAGCATTTATAGCAAATCAGTCTTTGATATTCAAATATAACACATCAAGATCCAAAATCAAATACATATATTCATATATATATTCAGATTAACCCTATCTTTTGTGCAAAGAAAAAAACCTTTTTTTATTTTGGAAATTCTGTTCGAAATCAAGTGCTACGAATTTTATCTTAAAGGCTAAAGCTATAGCCTAAAATAGTGTATACTGATAACTTATTTTAAAAGTTTATAGTTTTAGGCCATGAAAATATTATCTCATCTCCAACTTTTTAGGAAAATTCTTTTTATAGACAGAACAAATGAAAATAATACCATTACTATCATGTACCTATGTAGAGCATAAAATGTTACTACTCAACAGGACTGTTGTATTAAGATGTTATGATAATTAATTCCTAATTTTCTGAAAGCCAAGGAATGCCTATTATGGTTTCTTGAAGATAAAGAAAAGTCAAAAGGCTAGTGCTATGTACCCTACTCAAGGCCTAAATTCATTTTTATTTTGGATGTTTATAGCAACTTGTATGAGTGGAAGTTAAGAGGTAACTGATAATGCTTCATTACACAGAGTATAGATATTAGAAAAAAAAAAAGTCAAATATGAAACGTTTGAAAACGTCCCTCTAAGGAGTTGGTAAAGTAGTCTATGTTACCTGAACAGGTGCAATAACAGCACAGGGGCCACCTTCAAACTGTTCTAATGCAGATCCCTCTGATTCACTAAACACAAACCCTAAAAATGAAAGCAAGTAGCAAAGATTAAAAATATAATTCAAGTAGCAGCTAAAAAATTTTTAATGTACTTTTGCTTTGAGAAAGATCACTTATCACAACAGCAAAATATCTTCAAGTCCATTAGGCACCATAGTTCTTAACTTTTGTGGGTATCAAGGGACCCTGTGAAAAAAGGTATGGAACTTATGCCCCCCTAAAACACATACACACAGGATTTTATACTCAGGGACCCCGCTAAGTGGACTAGGGGAAGTGTGTCCTTTCATAAAAGGATACTAAATCTGACTTTTACATAATTTAATTTAATTGAAGGAAGACTAGACAGTCTATTTACTGAATTCAAACAGAATTCTTAGGATGCCTTCCATACAGTATCTTTCCTCACTCTAATCTGAGTCACATTCTATAAGCTAAAATTAAATGGCATCATAGACAGTGAATGTGCACATGCTGGCTCTATCTTAATTTAGGTATTACCCAACCAGTACTGACAGGGTGTGGCTACAAGTTTCCGCAGAGAGCACTGGCCATAAATGAGGAGAACTGTATATCTGTATAACCTACAGGAAATAATTTCACTTCTCTAAGTGTCAGTGTACTTATCCTTAAATGATCATTTCCAATTCCAACATGTTAAGAATATGTAAAGTTTCATTAATGGTTATAATTAATCATTCATCCAACAAACATCTAATGAACATCTGAGCACCCAGGGTATATGCATGAATGACAAAGTCCCTGGTCTGGAGGAGCCAACATTCCAGGAAAAGACAGACATACGAACAGTTACTAAAATAAAGGAATAATGAATGTTACAACAGAATTATGAAGAGAATGCTGTGGATATAAAATGAGTGACTTACACTGCCTGAGTCAAGTCTTAACAGATGACTTTGAGGCTGATCTTAAATAGGAATCTGCCAGAGAGTCAAGGTGGTAGGAAAATGACTTCAGATAAAGCAAAAAACTTTATTAAAGAAAAAAGATTAATGGATCAGACAGATATTCAGCATAGCTGAAGGGTAGAATGGATATAAGATGGGGGCAGATGGTAAATGGAGGTGGGAAGCTGACAAGAGGCTGATACTGGGAAGGCCGACCATGATAAGTACTAATTAAAGCAGTAATATGATTATACTGCATTTTTTTCCTTTTTGAAAACCAGAATGGGGATGAGATTGTTTCAACAGCCTTATAAAGATGGTGCCAACCTAATAAAACAGACATTAGTGGAGAGCAGAAACTATATCCAAACAATATTGATGAGGTAAAAATTAAGATTTGATGAGCATGTGCAAGTGAGGCAAAGGCTTCATACAAAAGAAATTACAGCTGAGTCTGAAGTTTCTAGCTTGAGACACTAGGTGATAGCAAGTGAGATATGACACAGTGTAGAGGATCCCATTCCACCCCACTTCCTCTCTCTTTACCTTTCGATCTTCTCTTCTTTCAAACAGTATTTAAACATATATTTCACATATTTAAAAACAAAAGATAAAAACCCTTCTGAAGAGTTGACCAAAAGCTCCTTGGCATTTATGTAAAGGAGTTGAAAACTTCTATTAACATAAAAACCTGTACACACATGCTTATAGCACCTTTAGTCATAACTGCCAAAATTCAGAGGCAACCAAAATGTCTTTCAGTATGTAAATGGATAAATGAACTGTGGTACAGCTAGAGAAAGGAACATTATTCAGCACTAAAAATAAATGAGCTTGTAAGCCATGAAAAGCCATGGAGGAAACTTAAATATATATTACTAAATGAAGAAACCAATATAAAAGGCTACATGCTGTATATAATCCCAATTTTACGACATTACTATATGAAGTCAGTAAAAATATCAGTGGTTGCCAAGGGTGAGCGGTGGGGGCACAGAGGGTAGTTAAGGCAGTGATACCATGATACAAATACTATGATACCATAATAATTGCTCCATGTCACTGTATATTTGCCCAAACCCACAGAATGCACACCACAAAGAATAAACTTAATGTAAACTAAGGATTCTGGATGACGATATGTCCATGTAGGTTCGTTAATTGTTAACAAATGTCCCATCTGGTGGGGGGGATAGTGATAACAGAGGAGGCTATCATGTTGTGGGAACAAGATGTGCTTGGGAGATCTCTGTACACTCACCACAGTTTTACTGTGAACCTAAAACTCTTCCGAAAAAGTAAAGTCTTAAAAAAAGGAAAACATCATTTGACCATAAAAAATATTCCACCAAAACTCCATCCACCACTCTCTAAACCCACCTAGTTATTTACAGGCACTGTCTCAATTTCCTTACCTCACAATTTAGTCAACCATTGAAAATCTGGTTTTCAACCAATGACTGTACCAACTCATTCACCAACTTCATCAATGACCAGTACTGGTTATTCTCAAGTCTTTTCCTATTTAATCTCCCAGAGAATCACCTGAAATGCTGACCACTGAGTTCTAAAAAATCTTTATCCCTTAGCTTTATTGGTCCCTCTGGTTCCAAATTTTCCTTACCTGTTTCTTAGTTTCTTTGATTAACTACTTTTCAATGTTAATGTTCCTCAGGTCTTGGCATTAGGATCTATGTGATCCTCACTGTATACCTTGACCCTGGGTAACTACATTTTCATTGCTGGTTATAATCAGGTTATTCGCACAGAGAGCCCAGATCAGAACTCCAGAAATAAAGTCTAAATTCCTTAACATGGCCCTGTATGGTCAATCAGCTTCTGCCTAAATTGCCTACCTTATCCTTTACCACTCTCCCTCCTTAGACTCCTGGCATGCTGAGCTTCTTTCAGATCCTCAAATATCCATTTTCTCCCTGTTTTACCTTTTGAACATGTTGTTCCCTCCACTTGAAATACTTGTAACCTTCTGTCTGAAAACCTCCATCTTATCTTTCAGGCTTTGCCTTAAGGTAAGGTCCTCTTGGTTCAAGGCTCCAAAATATACCTCTCATCCATTTCTAACCCATCTCTAGTCTACCTTGTAGTTCGAACCACCATCATCTCTCACCTAGAATACTGTTAGAGCTTCCAACCAGATCTCCCCATTCCTTCCCCCTTGCCTCCCCTACTTTACTTGTTCACCATAGAGTTAGTAGAGGAATATTTTAGACTTGGAAATAAAATTTTGTCACAGCCTGCTTAAAACATTTCAATGACTTCTCACTGCAATCAGAATGAAACCCAAACTCCTTTTCATGGCCTGAAAGACCCTGGGACCTAGCAATCCCGCCTTCCCTCAATTCACACTTAACTTCATCATCTAGAGAGACTTGAGGCCCTTAGAACATCCCAAGGTATTTACTTTAGCCTTAATGCTCTTTGTTCCCTCTGAGTGCATTTCCCCTTCTCTCTTAGTAAAGCTGAATCCTTTTCATTCTTAAGGACTCAGTTTACATATTCACTGCTCAGAGATAATCCTTGACAAGCTTGTATAAGTAAGTCTCTCCTATCTTCTCCCAGCACAACTATATTTATCATAATCTGTAATTATATTACTTTTTGTCAGAGACAGAGATTGTTCTGAGATCAATGGTGATGGTAATAAACGTGAATTTTAATATTGTAAAACAAAATGTATTACCATTCTGATGGTCTGTGGATACGAGTGGACCAATAACTTCCAAATGACCAATGCATGCTGTTAGAAATTAAAGCATGAGTAAAAGACCATCCAAAGTACAAGATAAACCAAGAGTACAAAAAGTTTGTTGGTGTGGCTTCAGATTCCACATTGCAACAAACTTCTAAGAAACTACTATGTGGTCAGTTTTGGTGTAGTATCAAAAAATGTCCAGAATTTCAGAAATGGCTGTTACAATACTCCTACCTTACCAATTACCTATCTGTGTGAGGCTGGATTTTTGGCATATGCTTCAACTAAAACAACATATTACAACAGAATGAGTGGAAGAGCAACTGTGAGAATCCAGCTGTTTTCTAATGAACTAGACATTAAAGATATGTACAAAAAATTTAAAACAATGTCGCAGGTCTTAATTTTTAAGAATTTTTCATACTGAAGTCTTTCATAACTTTTAAGAGTGTAATGGAGCCCTGAGTTAAAAAACCTTGAGAGCCACTAGCCTAGGAGAAGTAAATCTTAACAGGCTTCTAAGTTAAATATATAGACAAAGAGGAAGTGAAGGGAGTTATTGATTGAGCATGAGGGGAATGTGGGAAGTAGAGAATTGAGGAGGTCATTAATTCTGAAAAAATGTAAGAAAAACTTACAAGATAAGGAACTAAGAGAACAGTGAGGGCTCAGATAAGGTCTAATTCCTACATTTGTATCGATGCTGATCACCATTTCCTGTAGCAATACACAGCAGCCTGGGAGAAACAGAAACAGACAGGCTAAATGGAGCATTAGACTAGGTAAGGAGGGCAGGACAAATTTAATAAGGACAAATGAGAACTAAGGGTGCTGGTTATCATGTCAAGACAGCTAAATCTAGGAACAAGAGGTGAGACCAAGAGGCCTCCACTCTTTGGCTATCTCTTCTCCCCCTGGGAATAAGGAAAGGGTCCTTAGTGTTGAACCCAAGTGCAGAGGTGACACCAGGCTCTTGTCAAACTTCCAGGGTACATAATAAATATGAATCAGTAATGGATTCTTGCCCTCCTTAAAATTACTAATAATGTAATACAATTTTTAAGATTCAAGGGTGGAGCTTATAGTTTCTACTGCACAAGAGTGATTTGCTTTTTTACTTTACATATAAAAACCCCAAGTAGAGAATTCTAGACAAATCTGCTTTAAGCCAAATTCTGTTGAGTTATGGGTATTTATATTTTAGTGTGTTATTTGATAATGAACAAAGGCTATTACATCTTAAAATGACATAAAGTCAGCTAAATTGAAATTAAATATTGCATTCTAAAATAGAGGACTATGCTAAGGAGGCTTTTCCTTTTATAGCAAGGTTTTACTTGAGTTTGAGTATTTTAGAATACAGAGTTATTTTTCTGATCAAGTGTTCTCATATTCAAATTGTTTTCTGGTTTTAAAAGGAATTACATTACCTTTAAAAAATGGTTTTAATAGCCATTAACAAAATGGCTGCTTTTTTTATTAGATCTGAAATTAGCCATCTAAAGCATAAGTATACACTTTTGTACCATATTACACAGTACTACAGACACGAGTCTTTCTCAGTTTAATTGCTCATAACTAATTTATACCTAAACTTTGTAATTTTCAGTCTTTTATTTTCAAGACTCACTATGTATATGTACATTATTCAAGCCAGTTTGACAGCTTCTGCTCTATATATAATTCTAGCCTTCCATGTAAACAGAAAGCCAAACAAGGACCTGGTTTGTCATGACAAGATACTGACTGAGTCAAATCTGAGCTGGGCCTTTGTCTCCTCATCTATAAAATGAGGATAACTATATTTACCCATTCTTATACTCACAGGGTTGTTGCAAGGATTACATAAGATTTTCAAACATTGTACAGTGTAATACAAATGTAAGATATTATGACAGATACTCTGAACTAAAAAACACATGTATTCAAAATATTAAGAAATTAACTTTGTCATATCAGTTTACAAATTAAATTTAATAAAATTGGATTTTAGATGGACTATGATTTAGATAGGTTGGAGAAAGAAAAATCTATACTTGAGAGAAACAAAAGGCTTCTGACAACCACCACCTCTGAAGTGATATGTATGATCCATAGTATTAACTTGTCTTCACTTTGGCAAAAAAATTAAATATTGATGGTTTTATTGCTTTGGTAAAATGTTAAATCATATTAAAATAAATATCCAAACATACTTTCAAACTTTAATCCAAATGTATTAACTCCGAAATACATTTTATACTCATATTTTAATTGATCCCTCACTTTCTCTAAGTTATTTGTTAAATCTCATTTGTTCCTTTTATGTGACAGGAATTATCCTATACTGAAAGTCCAAAACTCTATAATTTTGATCAACTAAAGCTCCACCTTCCCCCAACCTCCACCAAGAAAATACAATAAACTGGTACAAATAACAAAATTGGGCTTTTCCTTTTCTGGTTAATCTTTAGGTAAAGCAATAAAATAACTTAGAACTTGGAGGAAGGGGTGAATAAAAAAGGAAAAAATGGTTTCTCTAGAATCTCAATAAGGGATTGGCGTGTTTTTGTAAATGTACTTTGGAACACAGCCACATCCATACCATGCAGGGCTGCATCTGCAGCAAGAGCAGAGATGAGTGCTGATACTGAGACAGACAAGTTTGTTACACACCAAGCTAGACAATCAATACTGAAAAGAAAACAAGTTCCATTAAGTCAAACATTTTCAGTTATAATAAGATTACTGTTTACTTCTTCTAGATCTAGATGACTCTTACTTTGGTCTGGTTGCCATGTGGTTGACCTGACCATGCCTTACTATCTCCACTGCCACCCTCCTGGTCCAAGCCACCGCATATGTCCTGGATTACTGCAGCTGTCTCCCTTGATCTTGCTGTCTCGACACAATACAGTTGATCATCCCACACAGCAGCAGACGGATGCTTCAACATTTGTCACGTCATGTCTCTCCTCTACTCCAAACATTCCAATAACCTTTCAATTCATTCAAAATAAAAGCCAAAGTACTGACATGGTCTATACTGCCAGGCACATTTTTCATTGTCTCAAATGGCCATTCTCTCTGCCTTGAACACTTGCTTCAGATATCTGCAAGACTAACTCAGATACTTCAAGAATTTGCTCAAATATCATTTAAAATGAGCCCTATCCATGCTACCCCATCCTATAATTCCCTATTTATCTACCTTATAACTATCATATACACTTAAGTTATACTATATTATGTTTATTTTCTTTTGTTTTCCCTCCCACCCTATCAAGTCCAAGAGGCAGAAGCCTGGAACACTGTTGTACTTTGTGTGAAAAAGAGATGGGAGGGAAAATGGTACTTATGTATAAAGTGGTAGAAATGTAAAAATGGGGAAGAAAATCTATGCTTTAAAAGTATTATAGGTAATTGAGCAGAAGGGAAGCAGGTACCAGTAAAGAGCAAATTTCCAAATTGAAGAAAATAACTTCAAACCTTAAAACTACCTAACTCACTGCCTTTAAAATACAAACTGGCAAAAAAACCCAGAAACAATACCTACCTTTTTTTTTAAAGATAACAGATTTGCAGAAAACAATGATCTAAAACCGTCCAAATAACCAAATGAATGAAAACAACTGTGTGCCACTTCTGTGGCTTACTGCTTTAACGTATTACCTAAAACTGTCCAATCAATTAAAAGAGAAAAAAACAAACCCTAACTATGTGCGGTGGCAACTCCTGCAGCTTATTGCTATAACATACCAAAAAAATGTAACATGACCAATTAATATAGTTTCATAAATGGAATATCCCTAGACATAACTTTATATTTATCCCAAATATCTTACACTTATAATTTGTTTCCAAAAGGCTAATGAAATTACAGTTGTCAATTCAAAGCACAGCTATAGACTATGAAATAAAACCAAAGTTAATGTCACATTATGAATGCAGTAACCCAAGTGCAGTACGGCTGTGCCTAGGGCCTATTCCGAATCAGAATCCCACATGCCTGCCAAAAGTTTTGAGCAATGGCTCCTGCCATATTCTAAGAATGAATAAATGAATACAGCAATTAACAGAGCAAAACCAAAACAACATCTCTCTGATTTAGAAGTGATTACTTAAAAATACGTATTTGGTTGCCTTAAAATCTTTGAATATACAACCTTGAAGAAAACACATCTACAATATAACTGCACTCTGAAAAGCAAAAAAAGAAACAAGTCCTTTATTTTGACATGTTACTGATTGAATGAATCTTGTTAAGGGCATGACTAAACGGTGGCAGAGCAATCTCATACATCATTATAAGGTTCTATCTTAAATAACAATTATCCACCAAATAAACAATCATTTCTTATAATTGTCAGGGCATAGCCAGAGTGATCTTTGGCTTAGTTCACAATTAAATGCTTTTTTAAATTAAGCTACCATTTTCCTAGAGTTTACTATATGTCAGATATTGTGCTAAGTGCCTGAACATGTCTACATGCTTTTAATCCTCACAACAACCCTGTAAGGTTGACACTACTATTATCTGTACTTTACAGAGAAGGAAACTGAGGCTTAAATAAGTTAAATACCTTCAACCTACAACCCAAGTACACCTATTCCAAAGCCTGCTCTTAACCATTACTAGTACTGCGTCTCTGAATACTCCTTGAATCTGCACCATAGTATGAACATAAATGAGGCTGAATATTACCTTACCATATGTTGTAAATGCTTAATTAATGCTGACTAATTACAAGGGAAGTAAACTTTTTCTTAATCTTTAATCCATCTTGTGTATTTTAGGGCTGTTCATTATTAGCATAAGTAAATCAAAAGGGAAAGTACATTTTAAAATAAGATCTGCAAATGCAGGTGTCCAAGATTTCAAAAAATATTAGTTATGTGACATAATCAAATGTGTAAAAGAGCCAAACTAACTGCATGTAGCGTTTAGAAACTCAAAGGAAAATAATGAGAACAGAGATGTTTTAGGAATTGGGAGACTTGTAATTCACTCCCAGTTCTATCAATCTGTGCACCTCTGGCCTGGTGATATAGCCTTCATGACTCACATTTTTCATCTGCAAAATAAGAGTGACATACTAAATAGTCGAACTGACTGTAATACTTATGAGTCTGATTTTATCAGTTCTTAAAAGAGACATACCTGGGGGGAGAGAGGAAATTTAAACCCTGAATTTCTGTTACAAAATACACATTATGAATACACTGCTTAGATATACTATGCTAAAATTTCCCCAACTTCTTTGAGAATAGGCATTATCTAAACACATATTTTAATAATAGTAATAAATAGCTCTTTATTGTAGTAATAAATAGCTATTCCTTACTGACCTGTGATGTTTTACATACATACATCACCAGTCTTTCTGACTCCAAAGACTATGTTCCTAACCTCACTTAACTTCACCAGTCTTAAGTAATGTGTGTATTTAAGTATTAAAACTTAAGAATTAGTGATAATTACTAGTAAAAAGTGCCCAGCTCAGAGCCTGGCACAGCGCAGGTACAATAAATGGTCATTTTAAGTTCATTATTATTCGTGTTAATAAAATTTCTTATCTAAGTCAAAAGCCTGTCTGGGTAGATCGGCACAGGAAGGGCTATTGTCCATATTCCTTTTAACTGTAACAGTAAACCATCTGAAACCCGGGGATACTTTGGGTCGAGAGAACACTTCGTCGTAGCAAGCAACACCTTATTTATGCACCGGTGCCACTCCTAACAATATAACTAAAATATACTAAAAACAAAACTACTTTTTATTAGCCACTTTGACTTTCCTATGGACTTCTCTCTCTCCAAAATTAGATCAAACGGCAGTAATAGGAAGCTTTGTTAGGAAGTGAAGATCCGCGGCCACAGCACGTCCTGAGAAAATGACCCCGGAACACAGGGCACACCCTCGTAGTCCACACCGCAGCCCAGCAACCACCCCTTCTCCCACCCAGCCGGACGGGCGCCTAGGGAATGGCAGAGGCCTGCGGGCTTTCGGGGACACCAACCACTCTCCTACTCAACCTCTCCCCGCAAGGCCGGCAGGGTGCTAGTATGAAGTCCAGTTTCAGAGCCGAGCCTGGGACCTGGGAGAGAGTGCGGGCGCGCGAGGGGACTGGCGCCAGAGAAGTCACAGACACTCGCAGGGCAAGAAAGCGGCGGCTGGAAGCGAGAACCCAACCGGGGTACCTTGTGTCCAACGGCAGAAAATGGTGTCAGAGAGACCGGGGCTGCTCTTGGTGCCCCACACCAGCTCCACCAGCTCTTTAGTCAGTTCGGACATGATGGGGTACCGGCAAGAGGGTCTTCGCTTTCAGGACACCTGCCCCGGAACATGGGGAAGGGGCGGTTTCGGAGACAAGAGTTTCAGAACGGCAGCTGCAAATGAGTGTGGAGGTTAGACCAGAGGAAGGCGAAAGGAGAAATCTATTCGCAGGGACCGCGCCTGTCAAAACGGGCGGCAGCGATCGCAAGGAGTTTCCTGTGCCGGAAGTGCCAGGGCCACTTCCGGCTTCTTTTTAGCCACGGCCCCCACAGCCGAAGGGCCCGGGAGTCACCTCCCCGGAAGCGGAAGTGGGGAAGGGAAGACCTGCGGACCTCCGTTTGAGCGGCTGGCCGCTGGGCGCCTTTCCCGGGTGCCCGGGTGGGTAACCCTGGCGCGCTCGCCGCGTTGTGCGGACGTCGGCGTAGTTCTGTCTTCTCGGAACACCTTGTCTCTGCGCGCCCTGCTTTGGTGTTCGCCGGAAGCTCTGAAGCCCAAGCCCTAGGACCTAGAATGTACCCTATTAAAATTGGTAATATTAATTATGCAAAACTGCAACTGTAAGGCAGTGGTTGAATCTCAGTGAGGGGACATCCATGTATGTATAGAGAGGCTCCAATAAGTTGGAGATCTTTCAGCCTCTACGTCTTCAAAAATCATATGAACCAACTATTAAAAACAACAGAAGAGCACGGGGTAACGCGCATTAGAAATGTCTATACCAGGTGTAATGAAGAATTACAAAGTTGTTTATAGGAAAACATTCAAAGCAGCCTGTTTAGAAATGGTAGAATGTTTTTATTTCCAATTTTTTAGACTATAGGGCCGTGTAAGCAAAATCTAGACCAAAGTCCAGTTTTCATCATTGACAAGCATTCAGTTTAATTTGTGTGAAACTTCTATTTGCGCTACATTGGCTGACCTTTGAATGTAAAACAAAAGGGCAAAATCTGATCTGGTTCTTTCTAGTTTCTAGATTGCAAATAAGAGATTTTGCTAATTTATCCTTTGTGAATTCAGCAACTTTTGCTTTAGTTAAAAGGAATTGTTCAGAGTCTGAAGCATATCCATAGTCTTTCTCCTAATTTGTATTCCCTTTGGAATACCCTTAATGCTATTTTTGCAAACCAAATCGTACCCATTCTTCAAAACAATGTAAATGCCACTTTGTAATAAAGCTTTCTCCAGTCATCAAAATCCAAAGTAAAAATTTTACTTTCTGAAATTTCATAGTGCCTTACCTGTATCTTGCTTATGACAATTACTGTGATCCTTATATTTGCCAATAATTATTTATTCTTCTCCTGGGATATAAATGCATGGAAGCCAAAGATTGGTCTTACTCATAGTACCTAGTAGGGAGCCTTGAACATTGCTGGGCTTCAGTAAGTAGAAGGAATGAACTTACCTGCACTGGAATTTAAGATTTCATTAGCTTTCAGCAAGTGAGGGAACAGGGAAAGTGGTACTGATGGGTCCACCTAAATATCTAACATTTGCATGATGGTTTACTATTTATGTAACTATTTCACTTCCTGAAAGACAGAGAAGGTCTGTATTCCTGGAGCCCGGTAAAGTGGCAGACCTCTGAGTTTAAAGATATTGGTACATGTGTTTTCTTCCCATTAATATGTGGAAATATTAATGGTGTAGTATATGTAACACTATATCACATTTGTTTTCTTTCCACCATTAATATATACATAGTAATAATGGATTTGATTAACTATAGATATAGAGCAAAAGCTATACTTTCAAAATGTATTTTTTAAAATGTAGTATTTCTTGATCTGTGATTTTTCTTAGTTTCCATCTACAGTGAAGCTGGCAAAATCTTGGACAGATATTGCTATGTATGTCCTTTCCTCCTTTATATTAAATTCTTTATTTGCAATGCTTTAAATTTTTTTATTAAACCACATTTTTAACAAGGAATATTTGATTAATGTTAAATTATTTATATTGTCTAATTATTCATTAGTTATAACATTTTAATTTGTGAACTTGCTTAAATTACAATAGAAATGCAAATCAATATTAAGATTTTTCTTATCTGGTTATTATATGTAAAATAATAAATATTGGAAGCAGTCAAGTTTGTTGCATCTGTATCTGGTGCAGGACAATAATGCCTTCTTTTATTATAATGACTTGAAATTTAGGTAAATTTTCTTTGAAGTATTTATGTTGCTCCAAATTTTAGCATTTTTTTCCCTTAGGACTATTTATGATTTTGATTAAATTGACATGTATCACTGAGATGTGCATAGGTTGCATGAATGAGCTTCTGCCCAAAAAGAGAGTCCTAAAAAATTTGACACTTCCTATTCATATATAAATTGTATTAGTAGTGATTCTCTTTCTTTCAAATTCAAGTCAGGGCACTTCCATAAAACTGGGCTGAAATTTCCATCATGATTAATTCTCTTTTGGCCATCTTTTTACTATTTAACAGCAACAGAATCAATTACCCATTATCCTCTAACTGTGTTTAATTATTTTCCTGTCTTTCCCAAAATTTCCCTGTCAAATAAAAAGCACAACAGCTTCATTACCTGTTTTCCAGCAACTATGATGAAAAGAAAAGGACAGTTCTCTAGTCTGAAGCCCTTCACCCCTAAGTGTATTTGCAGCACCACTTATTTAGGAGAAAACAAATCTTTCAAAAACCACCCTACAATAGGAATGGCAAACAAGTGAAACTCTTCTCTTTGTGTCATCCTAGCCTTATCTCAGCAAGATAATTTTCCGACCAAGCACACCAAGTTCCTTTTAAATCCACTGTTGTCATACTCCACTATGGCATGGGGCATTAATGCCCAAAGCATTTCCTACTAGTACTAGTACTAACACAAGGTGGAGAAGGGGTTCTGTCATTAAGGGCTGTGTTATGTAAAGTTAGCAAGTTGTTCACTGCAACTCTCCAAGAAAGGGATGGTGTTTAGGGTTAGGAGACACATTTGAATCATTTTATGCACTGTGCTTCCCACATCGTTTATGTTCTGCACAATACTGTTTAGGAATCACTGGTATAATGAAATAAGCATTTGATTGGAATCAGAAAATCCAAATGTAGTTCTTTGAGTACTAACTGTGCTCTTGCATGATTCACTTAAATAGCTCTATACAATGTTATCTTCATCTATAAATTAAGAAGATTACATTTAGATAATCTAAGATCCCATTCACTTCAGATCCTGCCCACTTCTATCATTTTAAAAACTAGCTGTTTGGAAGTTAAAATATATGGAAAGAGTGGGAAGAAAATGTTGAGTAAGTACACAGAGTAAACAATTTAGCATTATTTTTCACAAACGCATAGAACAAAATAAGTTATTTGTCACTTACCACTTGTGTGAACATTATGAAGTGAGAAGATCAGATCCCAACATGTACCATAATCCAAGACTGCCTATTTGAAATGAGAATACAACGTTTGCACACTTGGATGTATTATAGGCCCCTCAAACTCAGTATGTGCCATATCCAAAGTCTTTTTCCATAAAACCTACTCTCCTTTCAGTGTTTCAGAGTCAGTGAATGGTACCATCATCTATATTTTTTAATGTGTTCAATTTCAACAGAATGAATAAACAACCTCTTTGAGATTCAGTTGCCACATGCATAAAATAAGCTTAATTATTACATCACACAAAGATTATGGATTTAACAGCATTGTATGTAAAAGAAATGGGCATAGTGAAAAATACTACTCTTATGTCAGCTATAATAATGGTTTGAACAAAGTACCACAGGAGCAACGGTGGCAGATACGTTATTGCTGCATTTGAACAGGGTAGAGTTTAGACTAGAGAAAAAAGGATATGTATTTCAGGCATGAAATACTACTGTGACGGGAGCCTGGCATTTATGTCACCAGAGAAAGAGGAGCCAGGAATGTCAGGTTAGGGAGGGCGGCATAAACTGAATTTTGTCCCCTCTAAATTTGTATGCTGAAGCCAGCGTTACTGTATTTGGAGATAGACCTCACAGAGGTAATTAAAGTCAAATGAGGTCATAAAGATAGGGCCATCATCCAGCAGAAATGGTGTCCTACTAAGAAGAGGAAGAGACACCAGAGATCTCTGTCTCTGCACATGCACAGAGACAAAAGGCCATGTGAGGACACAGTGAGAAGGCAGCTGACTGACCCAGGAAGAGCTATCTCACCATTACCCAACCTGGATAGCACCTTGATCTTGTACTTAAAGCCTCCAGAACTGTGAGAAAATTAATTTCTGTTATTTAAGCCTCCCACTCTCTGGCATTTTGTTATGGCAGCCTGAGCAGGCTAGTACTGAAAGCCAGAATCTTAAGAACATTGAATGCTCTCTTACATAATTATAGCAGTTAATATTCACTAATCCCATTTTGTGCCACCATATTAAGCTCTTTACATGTATTAAAAACAGAACTCACAATTCTGAAGTAAGTATTACAATGATCTCAGAACAATAAGGCCTTTGCCCTGAGTCATGCAGTAAATGGGAAAACTAGAATGCAAACCCAGATTTTTCTGACCCAGAACCTGTGTTGAGACAAGGTTCAGAGCACAGGTGATTTGACTCCAGAGCCTATGGCCTTAATACTACTTGATTCATAACACTCTAGCTGGGTGAGATTTTTAAATAGGGAGTGGTAATATCACTTTTATATTTTATAATGATAACTGGCAGTATGTAGTAAGGACAGTGATTTAAGTGACAAAGCCTGGAAGCAGCTAAAGCAGCTGGGAAGTTACTGTCGTCTTCTTGAAACCATGCATAGGGCTTGACCTGGAGCCCTATGTGGCAAGGACTACTAGTCCATGGAGCACTAGCTGGGACAGTGTCAGTGAGGGGCAAATTCCACAGGCATTTTAGAAGCATAACGGATAAAACTTGGTGATATATTAAGAAGGGAAGCTGATATTAAAAAGTTAATGAAACAAAGCTAGTTTAAGCACAAGATTAGCATCTCTATTGATCAGAAACAGAACAGAAACACAAAAGGGGCTGAAAGCTGTAGGCCTGCTGGGTTCCAGCTATGGAAATAGGAATAGATGAAGAGGAGTCTGATTCTGAAGGCTGAAGTTTACTGAAGCCACTGCATGAAAACTGGAATTCAGAAAACTCCTGAAAGGAAATGCGACCTCTGAATAAAACTGTGTTCCTGGTAGTAAGGAAGATAAAGAGCAGTAAGTGGGAGGGAGTGTATTGGTTTTCTATAGTAATCATAACAAACTATCACAAAATGTAGTGGCTTAAATAACACAAACGTA